TATATGCTAACTATAAAAAAAAGCAGTTTCAAATAGTGAATCTGCTTATAAGAATCCTTTTGATTTATCTGATAAACATTATTTTAATGTAGTTTACCTACCTGAAAAAACAGAGAGGCATAAATTCAGAGAATACTAGTTTCATCCTGCTGTTGTCAGCTCTTAACTTCCTTCCACCACCTCAACTTTTTCACCTTCTTAAACTGGGTAGCTGTCTTTGGAAACTTAGGATCCACTCAGCTGATGGGTCAGACATGCATTCCACAGTCCTTTTCTTTCCAAGCCCTGGCCCAGTAAATGGGCTTAGAATTACAACACTTTATAATCCTGGAACATGGTAGCCCAGATACAAGGATACTGACTTACTTGAACCTTAATAGACTTGTTCCCAAATCTGCCCTACAGGATGGATCCTAGTTGTCTGTATAGTTTCCGGATCAAAGACAGCTCATGCAGTGAGTGTTTTGACCTAGTAACCTGGGTTTAGCTTCTGCATAGGTTTTTGCATAAATAAATCCTGCTGTCTTGCCACTGGGCAGAGTTTCTGCTGTAAAAGACAGTTTACTAAGTAATAGATACCATTACCACATTTAGGGAAAATAATTCTAAATTCTTGTCTACTGGGCCTTGTCTACTTGGCAGATTGTCCCAATTAAGAGAGTTTTCCATATTAAGATGGAATTTTTGATGTTGTACCCAGAACTGCAACTGAAAAAATCTGCATATCATCATCTTATACTTTCTTATCAGTCCTTGTCTTGAACCAAGAATCAGCTTCAGCTCTCATCTGGTTTAACTGCTCCTGTTGCTCAATTGGTACCCATAGCATCCCTTTCATATTTCAAAAGTCATCACAAAAGGATAACTTACCTCTTGTTTATATGGAAGAAATCCAGAATACTAACATTTTTTATTTCTTTCATACTGTTAGTGTCTTAATCCATTTTTGCTGCTATAAGAGAAAACCACAGACTGGGTGATTTGTAAAGAAAAGAAATTTCTTTTCTAAAGCTCTGGAAGATGGGAGGTTCCATATCAAGGTGTTGGCACCTGGCAAGGGCTTTCTTGCTGCCTCATAACATAGTAGAGGGCATCACATGGTAAGACAGCATCCAAATTCCGGTCTCTTTCTTTTTCTTCTTCCTTCCTTCCTTCCTTCCCACCTTTCTTTCTTCCTTCCTTCCTCCCTCCCTCCCTCCCTTCCTTCCTTCCTTCCTTCCTTCCTTCCTTCCTTCCTTCTTTTTTTTCTTTCTTTCTTTCTTTCTTTCTTTCTTTCTTTCTTTCTTTTTTTTCTTTCTTTCTTTCCTTTCTTTCTTTCTTATAAGGCCACTAATCCCTATCATGCCACCCCCCATCCCCATGACTTCATCTAATCTCAATTACCTCCCAGAGACATTACATTCAAATATCATCAACATGTGAATTCAGAGCTCAGGTCTACAAYACAGGAATAAACTTTGGGAAACACATTAAAACCATAGTAATTAGGATAAAGCAAAGGAGGAAAATGATCTTTACTTTCCTCCACCATGATTGGATAAWCATAATGGAATTCAAAGCAAAAAACAATAAAATACCAGGGAAAGAGAAAACCAAATGGAGACAATTTTTAAATTTTTAATGAAATMTAATTTACATTGTTTGGCAATTGTATTAAAAAGTTAATTCACTTCCTAAGATCTGACTGGTAATGAGGTTGGAAATAAAAATGATATCTTTTACCTTTCCTGAGTTCTAATTGTCTTTTCTAGGTACTACTACTGAGGAATTTCTAATTTGGCTCATCACTTCAGTGGGAATTCAGTGCACATAAGGGGCACATATGTAATTGGCAACCTAATTTTTCTGCTTTCATCAAATGGTGCAATGCCAAGTCTTCATTGAACTTGCCAGTTAAATGCACTTGGGAACCAAACAGCAGCAAGCATACAAGAGATGAAAATGAACAAATTGGAAAGAGTCATTAGCTTTCTGTTTTTCTATCACAACAAAAATTATATCATTGAATGTGTTGCAAAGCGGGAAATTCTACTTGAAACATTAAACAATCTTAAAAGAGAATAATTCATTTACTAAACTTCTAAACTGCTGTTCATTAAAATTTATAAATGGAATTTCTMGTGCTCATTTTTCAACAAAAATACAAAATAGTTAAAATGAATCAACTTTTCAGACGTGTTTTAAGTCATATTTTTGTGTATCTTTCTGGGTAGTACATATGAATTCTAATCTTCATTTAGAAAGAAAAGTATCAGAAAATAAGCAAGAAATGTTAGTTTTATTTAATACCTTAATTAAAAAGGCAATTGACAGATTGTCATGGTTCTCACTAATTATAAATGCAATTTGAGAGTGTGAAAATTACAATCAGTTGCGGTTACCAAAAATGCCCTTGAAATATCTGATCTAATATATAATTTTGAAGTATTCATTATAGATCATAATCAAATTATCATTATAGGTGACAATTAAATAGAGAATCAAGAAAAACTACCAAAATTTTACCCAATATGATTAAGCATTGCTATTCAAGGGGKAACAGAACTTTTAAAAATGTCTACTTGCAGCTCCTAATAAACTACATATTCATTAACTAGATGCAAGCATTCAGAAAGAACGCTTCTGCAAAATTTCCTTTGCAGTGACAATTTCTTTCATTAAAGCCTGTGGGGAAGTTTTCTAACTCCATCTTTGAGTCTAAGTATTTTAATACTTTATAAATTCTTGTCTACATCTAAAAAMTGTATATTTTATAAACTTCTCTTGCAATATAAAAGGAGGGATGTAGAATAGAAGGAAAATTCCTGAAGATTACAGACCAGCTGATTTCATGATTATCAAAAGCTCAAAGGAAACTCTTTTAAGATTTTTAACTGATCTAGGAGTTTTGAACGGGGAAGCCATGTGTACAGTAGAGTTAAACAGAGCTGTAGCTGTATCACTTGGTGTTTGTTTGATCTCCTGTTAACTACTTACCTCCCAAATCCTGACCTGTCCAATTGAGGAAATATCAATAGCTGTTTCATAGGGTACACATTAAGTGTCAACATCCTGTGTTACTACATATCCATTTTATTATGCTTAATCAAAGAAGTTACAATGTTTCATACTTATATATATTTGATATTTCTCCACTGGTCCTTATCCATCCACTTTGTTGCCCTTTCTTTACAATATCTCTGTTTTTTACACACTCCTATTAACATCTCTATTAATCTTGCTCGTATGCTTAAGCTGTTTTAAAAGAACTCTAAACTCATTGTATGAGAYATGGAAGAACTAGAGGTAGCAATGTCAATGTGAAAAAGGTAAAGYATATGGAGAATACATAAAGGGTTGGCATATGATGAAATACTGTAGATATAGCAATGGTCATTCACCCAAAGAAGGAAATTTGAAACATGAATTGTCAACCTTGCCACCGACTCCCTATATTCTTAAATGTTTTCTTTTGTCACATATTTTTAAAAAATCCCAAAGTTGTTACCTCAGAACTGAGTTGTTTCCAATGCCAATGTACACATTAATCACTAAGATTCACACAAAAAGTACTTTTACTTTTTGCTTTTACTCCCAATATAGGCACATTTTAAAAGTCAGACTGTGGCTAGACTCTACAGAAAACACACACACACACACACACACACACACACACACACACACTTGAAAGAAGTGTAGATTGCATGTTTCCTGTTTTCCAATAAAGAAGTACATCAGATGACAAAGATCTTGCAATATGTGCAGGAAACAAATAAGGGGCTAGAGAGGAGAGGACAGGTGAACAAACTCAACATAACTTAATATCGGGGATGTATTACCTACCTAAAAGTGGTATTACATTCCATCACAATGGGTTAACAATAATGGTTCTTACATAACAAATACATACACACACACACACACACACACACACACACACACAATATGCACTATATTTGCTGTAGTGGCTACTAAAGGCATAAATATGTAGGAGTGGAGATAAAGAAGGGCATGGAGGGGAAAGAGTTCCAGGCCCTATGCAAACCTGAAAGGAAATGAGGCAGTGCAAGAAGAAAAAAGACCAAGGAAAAATAAATTAGGTAAGCAAAAGCATCATGCATCAGAAGTCTTCTCCATCTCTAAACTGGCAAATTTTCTCTAGAGGGCTATCAGTCAAATGATGTCAARTCGTAGCTAGTTCTGTTCAAAATGCCTGTATTGTTGAGGACCTTACATATAGGAACACAAGTCCCACTCAGTCATAGTTGCAATGCTTTCATTATCTTACAGAAGAATTGATTGCTGCAAATGGTTCCTGGGAGGCGTGACCTGCTTAAAGGAAAGAAGCCAGGTTTCTTTTCTTGTTACTGTGTTAGGAAAAGACTTGTCAGAATATGAATGGGGCAGCTGACAAGAAAAAAAAAAAAAAAAGGAAAAAGAACCTCATAATTTCCTCCCTTAGAGGTGGAAGGGAGAGAAGACAACATCAGTGTCTTGGAGAAAARCAGATACAAGTGCATTTCCAGCATCCCCGCTTTGCTTCTCTTCAGAGTCCTACTAGTCTCTAGTCCTTGACCTGCCAATGCACTTGGACTCGACATACACAAGGATGGGCTGGGGGGAAAGCCAAGTCAGCACCKTCGGATATTGCTTCCCCTAAAATGAAAACTCAGCAGCGGGCCAGCAGTGGGTGTGCGCGCTTTAATGTGAGAGTATGMGTGCGCGGTATCTGGCCACTCAGTTGGCCCGGCACCGCCCACCAGGCTGCCCCCGCCCCAGGGCAACTCTTCCACCCGCGTCTATAAAGGCCGCGCTCCTGACCACCCTTCTCACAGCTCCAGAGCACGGCCTGCCAGTGAGGTGGCTCTCTGCACTCCACACACAGTCACACTCCGCGCACTCACACACTTGGAAGCGCCTCCCCACGTCCCTCCCCTGCCCTCCTCTTGCTCTGCTCTTCTCTTCCTCACCACAAATAGTCGCCGATCGACTGCCAATCCGCCTCTCCCTCTCAACAACATGACTGACTGGGAAGAGGTGGCTCAGGCAGAGCAGCTCTGCTGGCGCAGGCAGGAGGAGCAGGAGGATTATTAAATAACGCAGCTCGACTCTGCAACTGGGAGTGGAGAGAAGGAGCCCAACAACAGTCGAGAAGGGGAGGGAGGACAGAGGAGGGGGACCAGGAAGGACAGCCCGTGCCCCGAAGACATAAATCCCTGAGTGCCCGGGAGGAGCCTTAACAAGCGGCGCGGAGCCCTCAAGGTAGTAACGCCTCCGGTGCCCCCGCGCCCGGCGGGTCGCGCGTCGCGTCGCAGCTGCTCCGGGGCCGGCCTCTGGGGGACGCGGGAATGACCGCCCGGCAGGTGACCGCACAGTGCCGGGGCCGCTCCCGAGCAGCCCCCACCCAGGCCCCGGGCGCCGGCCGCGGGCCCCGAGTACGCGGCGCGGAGACCTGGCCTTGTGGGCTGGGTGGGAGGGAGGAGGACCGGCTCGCTCGCCGCTGGCCCGCGACTCCGGGTGCGCTGCGTGGCCATTTCCTCTGCGCTCCTGTGCGTCCTGTTCCCTGCGGCCCCGGCGGCCGCTCTAGGGCGACGCGGAGCGCGGCCCGCCAAGGAGGCAAGAGTTGGAGCAGGCTCTGGGCCGCTCCCCTCCTTCGCGGCTCGCGTCCCGCAGGTAGGGGCGGCGGGCCAGCGCTGGCGCCCAGGGCTGCGGGTGCCAGGGCGGGGACGGCGAGGAGGAGGGGAGGAGGAGAGGAGGGGAGGAAGGGGAGGGGGCGGGGAGCCCGGGGCTCCGGTGGGAGCCGCAGTGCCGGATCCCCGACCGTCTCTTGCCTGCTCCTGGTTGTCCTTTGGCTTCCTGGATTGGAGGGGTGACCCTCCCCCGTGGTGGCAACAGCGGCGACTTAGAGTGAACAAATTGCTTTGTGGTGGCGCGTCGAGAGAGAGAGAGAGAGAGAGAGAGAGAGAGAGAGAGAGAGAGAGAGAGAGAGAGAGAGAGAGAGAAGGAGGAGAGGTGGGGCGTGTGTGTGTGTGTGTGTGTGTGTGTGTGTGTGTGTGTGTTTCTTCGTGTGTGTTCGCACTCAGGACTAATCAGTGCCTTGGTTCACCTGAGCGGAAAGTCAGCCCTCAGCTGAAACTGCAGGTGACTTCCAGGCCTCTGATCTTTTGCCTTGTGTTCCAGGGAATCCTACACACGGTGCCAACAAGAGGTAGGGGTGCACGAAGGGGTGACAGAGGGATTTGTGAATGGTGCTTCTCAGCGCGTGGAGGCTGAGCCTTGCTGATGTAAAGGAGGAGGTATCCAGAGTGAGAAGAAAGGCTATTTATGGCAAAGAGTTGTGAAATTTCTCGGGGTTTCCTTCAGTGTATCCTGAGCTTCTTCCTCCTCTCCCCTCGTCTCACAGAATTTGAAGCAATTTTGCTTTTTTATTTTTTTTTTCATCTACTCATGGGACCTGCAATATAAAATGAAGGAAGTCAGAGAATCACAAGTTAAAAAAAAAAATAAGCTCCTTGGAAGTCACAGATCTCTTGCCCTATAACGTTTCTAATGCCCTAGTCTCCACTCCTCTTACCTCTGTGGGTCCACAAGACAGAAAATACCTGCTTGGTTTCATCAGCTCTCATTTCTGGAATCTTTGCAGTTGGATACTTTTTTTACTGAAATATCACACATTTTTCATTCTTCCTCCTTCCTAAAGGCTATTAAAAATAATATATTATTTTTTTACATAAAGCTAATTCTATTAAAAGCCTTGTGAGGAGAGAGAAACAGACTACTAAGTGAGGTTATATATATTTCTACTGATTTTAAAAACTAGATATTAAGGGAAGACATAGCATGCTGTTAATTTAGGCTACAACATAATTAGTTTGTTTTGGTTTCTCATTCTATTGCTTTGTAATAAGTACACATTCCAAAGACCTAACTGAAGCTTAGAGATGACTTGGGACAGTTCTGTCACTTAGCAAATTTCTGTTTGTCCTTAAAAGTAGCAACTCCAAACTGCTGACTGAATTGTGATAGTAGAACAGCACCCTTAACTTAATTTTAAACTGAGATGTTTCTAAGTTCTTGCCAAACACAGTATTCTTACAACATTGAAATTCCATATTATAACTATTTCACAGAGAAGTAAACTGATCAACCCTATTGTCAGAGTGATTTGTCTTCATTTGATTTAATTAAGAAGCTTGATCAAAATTTTTTTTGCAAAAACTATCAATTGTTGTTTGTCCCCATGCCCCCCAGCACCACCAAAATATGAAGGTAGATTTTAATTTCCTGTACTAAGGATTAAATCCAGGGCACTTTAACTGAGGTACATTCTCAGCCTTTTAATTTTTAGTTTGAGACAGAGTCTTCCTAATTTGCCTTGGCTGGCCTGGAACTTTTGATCTTCCGGGTCTCAGCCTCCTGAGTAACTGGAATTACAGGTGTGCACCACCTCCCTGTGCCGAAGGTGGCATTTCTTGACAGTCCTATTCATTAGAAACAAGAAGCTGAGTTAAGGACTTGATTTGGTTAGATTCACATTAGTTTAAAATATATTTTCAGCACTGACACATGTGCAGTTTTTTTTTTCCCTTTTGGTCCTGAGGATTGAACCCAAGGGTGCTTTATGACTGAGCCACATCCCCAGTCCTTTTAATTTTCTTTTCTAATTTTGGGAGAGGGTTTTGTTAAGATGCTGAGGGTCTGGCTAAGTTGCTGAGGCTGGCTTTTAATTTACAATCCTATTGCCTCAGCTTTCTGAGTTGGCACGAGCAGTTTTATATATTAAGTTAGAACTTAGATGGAGAATCCCACTCTGAGGGTCATTACCTTAAATATCTGAAACCATTGAAACACAGGGATACTTGATGATTAAAAAATGTCATTCATGAACCGTGTAACTGCAATCATTGAAAGTTGTATTTATGTATATCTGTTCTTTGACACTATCTAAGAGTGAGCCAATTGTTACTTATTTTAAAATTATCATTTACACCATTGAATGTTAATTTACAGAAAGTCATAAAGTAGAAAAGTGAACCATTTATTATTTCCTACAATAAGTTTATTCAATTTTTTATTGCATTTTATAACTCATAATACTCATTCTAAAAGTCTTATCATGTGCAATGCACTGTCTAGGCATTGTGGGGGTTCTTGCTCCTATCCTTAGGAACTAACTGGCCAGTTGAGAGAAATCTGATGTGCATGCTTTAAACAGAGTTAACATGACAATAAAAGATTGCATATCTAAAAAGGGCTACAGGAATTCAGAGCATGACAATAACATTTCATACTGATTGCATCTGAAAAGGCTTCAAAGGGTAGGTAAGACTTGTTTGGTCTTAATGTTAAAGGATAAGTAGTTAGTAAATTGTGGATGAGAGGAAATCAAGGTCTAAGCAGTTAGTTTCCTGGAATGATAGAAAAAGAAAAAAAAAAGAGAAGACAGAAGTGAAAGCAAATTTGTTTTGCAATAGATTTAGGTATTGCTAGATATTGTTGTGCAATGTGCAGGGCAAATCTGTTTTAGATGTACAACATTCTGAAAGTTTCACTCTTGGAGTTCATTGTCAGTATTTATGAACTTGAGAAGACAAATGTTTATTTTGCTTTTAATAAACAGCATATACTTATACTGCTTACTCTAAGTACAGTAGAGTATTTGTAGAGAATATGCACTTTAAATCTTTAAATATACTTATATCACAATAAAGCACTGAATAACAAGATTGTGCAGGTATAGCCCCTTTATAGTGGGGTGTTTTAGATACTTCCTTACCCAAACCTCCTTACCTTTGTTCTAAAGACTTGTGATMATGTGTAAAACAAAAGCATTAATGAGCATTCCTTGAATTTTTAATATTTTATCATCATAAAACTATGACTCATTAAATACCATACTTTTATGTTGATTTTATTTTAAAGTTGTTAGATTTAGTAGATTATGTTTTAAAGTTATTATATGTATCCACATAATACTTTACCTATTCTTATATCAGTTGCCATGAATATGGAGCCACGATACTGGGTTTGTGGGGAACTTTTTAGAATTGTAGAAAGAATTATAAAGTGTTTTTATCTATATTCTTAAAAATGAACTGTACTCATAATAGGAGGATGACCTTTCTCTATTCTAAACTTACTTTTTTGTTGCATGTATTTATTTGTTGTTTCTACATAAATACAAAACTGCTTAGAATGCATTTCTTCATTTTTAAGAACACAAAGGGAAACATCAGAACTGACTTTGAGCCTATCTGTTCAATATGACAGCTCAGAAGTATGTTAAGGTGACACTGAAGAAATTGTACAAATATTAGATAAGATTTTCAATAGCCAAATGGAATTACTTTCAGATTAGTTGAATTAAAAGATTTTCTCATATATATTTTGTTGACAGTGCATAGATGATAAGAGTTATTATAAAAGTGAAAGTCTGTTAAATCACCAATTTCATATTCATGCAAGAATGGAATGATTTCCAACATAGTAAGAGTATATACCAGCCTATCTTTAATTAGTCCCTTTTGAGTTTGATTTTGGACTATATGTCACAGGTGTATCATTTTGATAATGTAATCTTGCCTACTGTGTGACTGACAGCCTCTGCATGATTTCCCTACTGGATAGTGACAAAATCTGCTTGCTTTATATTGAGTACATAGGCTTCTATCAGTAATATTATCTCCACCATGCAAGAGTGTCAGTTCACAATAAAACATGAAGTCTGGAGTGGGAGGACAGGTGTGGGATATTGAGGGAAAAACACTATAACAAAAGTAACATGTTTCATTATGATGCTTTTTCTAATTATAAAAATATATAGCTAAACATCTTACATTATAATACATAGAGTACCAAAATATTATTATAGGTCTTATTTTAAACAACCACATTGCATTTTAGCTATTTACATATGGGCTAAATTAAAAGAGAAGAAAAGGTGGTAGTTGAAAACATTTATGAGAGTCTTTGATGAGATATAAAAAAAATTGCTCAAAAATTTTTGCTTAGGTCATTGATAAAAAAGTTGATTGGCTCAGTTTCTGGYCCTGTCCCTAGATAACTTAAAACATGGTTTTTGGTAATTTGTTAAATATTAATTAATCTGATTAAAATATTTGAATACCTTAAGTGTCCTCTGATACTGAATAAAATACAAATGTATTTTATAAAGAAACATTTTATTATCTAATGGCTAATTCCTAACCTAGATCGAGGGTTCTCAACACGTGTTCCCTGAACAACAGCAGCACTTGTTAACT